CCTTTTTTTAAAGTGTGGACTCCATACCACTGCATTGTACTCCAGACTAGGTTTTATGGTTGCTGTAATGATCATCTTTCCCTTATCTTCGTCCATATACACGATTATCCGTTTTATGCTAGCAATCAGTCAGTATTTTATGGACTTTTCATTTAGATGATAATTTGGCCTTAGGTTTCTGCTTATGACTACCCCTAGGCCTTTTTTTCCCCTGACAGCTGTGTTTAATATTGCGTCTCCTTATTTATTAGAATAGTGGGCGATTTCTATTTTCTCCGAACCTGACTACGTGGCATTTATTGGTGTTGAATTCCATTTTCCAGTGTCACTTTGGAGGCATTGGCATGAGATGTCTAATTTTCTATATTTATTATTTATTTATTTTTTTGTATTTTCGCGTCGTCTGCAAACATATTCAAGTAACTACCTGGGCTTATGTTTGGCCTAAATCATGTACGAAAATAGTAAATAACATCGTCGCCAAGACTGATCTTGAGACACTCCACTGGTTACTCGTCGCCATGTGGAATGTTTCCCTCTAATGACTGTGCTCATCTGTCTTTCAGCCATTCGAGGAGTTTGCCTTTCGCTCCACCTAGGTGCTCTAATTTCCATAGTATCTTCGAAATGACATCTTATCAAAAGCCTTTTGAAAGTCTCGCTACACACAATCCACCAGCCGTCTCTTCTTGCAATATTTCAGATAGTCTCATAAAAAACATAGATTTGCTACATATTACATTCATTCTCTAAAACGAAATTGTTTATTTTATATAATTTCGTGTTTTTCAAGTACTTCATCCAATTGTTCCCTAATTATCCTTTCCATTAGCTTGAATACTACACTAATTAACGAAACTGGTCTATAATTTAGAGGATTTTGTTTATCGTCGCTTTTCTATAAAGGTTTAACATTGGCGAGTTTCTTACTTTTTTGTAGTTATCTAGGTCTCACTGAATTTTGGAATATTAACAATAAAGGAGTACATAGTTCTTCGACACAGTCCCTAAGAGCCCAATTAGAAATCTTATCTGGTCCATCTGCTTTGGTCTTGTCTAATCCTTTTTGTAGATTTTTTTTTTTTTTTTTTTTTTTTTTTTTTTTTTTTTTTGAGGTTGATACATTTGATGTTCTTTACGTTTGTACGGTTATTTGCCATTTCCGAGTATGAGTCCTGAACAAACACTGCTTGAAATTTCTTATTAAATATTTCAAGCATTTCCTCCTTGGTATAATCAATGTTATTGTCTTTGATGACACTAATTTAATCTATTTTTAGTTTTACTGTGTGTGTGTTGCATCTTCTGTTTGCACATGCAATTTTGATTGGCAGTATTCATAAGATTATTCCACTTTGTATTTCATGTCCTATTTGAAGTCAGCTGAAGTATTTGTCGTTTTTTAGTCTGTTCACTCGTCTGATGTTTACTTTATGGATTGTTTTCTGGAATGGGGCTGGTTGTGGCGGTGAATAGCCTGCGTCGGGTTAGAGCTTTGAGGTGAAGATTGGGTGTTGGATTTGGTGTTGGTCTTTTTGAGAAAAGGTATGAATGAGAATGAATTTCTTCACAATACAAAGGGTGTCCTTGACTTTCTATTATATATATATATATATATATATATATATATATATATATATATATATATATATATATATATATATATATATATATATATATATATATATATATACTTGACCGGTTTTAATTATATCTTCATCAGAAATACACACACACACACACGTATATATATATATATATATATATATATATATATATATATATATATATATATATATATATATGTGTGTGTGTGTGTGTGTGTGTGTGTGTGTGTGTGTGTGTGTGTGTGTGTGTGTGTATGTCCGTACACACACACGCACGCACGCACGCACGCACGCGCACACACACACACACATACACACACACACACACACACACACACACACACACACATATATATATATATATATATATATATATATATATATAATATATATATATCCGACGTAGATATAATTGAAACCAGTTAAGTACGTCCCCTGTATTGTGAAGATATTAATTCTCATTCATACCTTTCCTACATTTGTCAACATGGTCTTTTCTTTTGGTGAAATGGTTGATCTCTAACTCTACTTGTTCGTCGAGGTGAGGTTGTTGAGGGGGGGGCAATATGAGAAACTGATAAGTGTGACCAAGTTTCCTTTCTGCGTTTTGGGTGATCTCTGGTGACTCTCCGGGAAGAGGGTGGAGTGGGAGAGCTTTGTCTGCGAATACTTTTAGGAAGTGCTGTTTGAAGCCGGTACCTGGCTGCTTGATATTTTGTAAGTGAATGTGTAAGATTGTTGTCATTATCCTTCGTGTTACATTATCATAAAACAGAATATTGCTTTTAGGGTCATTTTCTCTCCTTTCTCCTCTGTGACTTCAAACAGTAGCTTGATTCAAACATACTCAGGAGGGACGTTGTTTGGTTGTTTTTTTTTCACCTTGGGTGGGCAACGACAGACATGTATGTATGTATAAATACATACACACACACACACACACACACACACACACACACACACACACACACACACACACACACACACACATATATATATATATATATATATATATATATATATATATATATATATATATATATATATATATAATATGTCGACTAGTGTCAGGATATCCACCTTTAAGGTCGAAACTGTGGGCTTCAGGAGTTGGCGAGCTCATGAAGCGAGTACAGAAGTTTAAAGCAAAGTGACTGTGAATATATAGCAGAATACAGAGCGAAGTTTGTGCTGTACTAGTGTTATCGTCTGTTCCATAAGATCACGAATATTTTAATGACCTTTTCTCGAAATGTTTAGCGTAGAAGACAAGGGTATTGCAAATAACGCTAATGCATTCGCGTGATTCAGTGCAACTTTGCGGCATTTATCTAGAGAGCTGACGATGCTTGGCAATGAAGGAAGTTAATAGGCGGTCGTCTCACAGTTGAAGTTTTGTTAATATTCGTGTTTGTATTTACAGTGAACCCTCGTTTTTCGCGGGGGTTACGTTCCAAAAAGAACCCGTGATAGGCGAATCCGTGAAGTAGTAACCTTTATTTTTTTTACAATTGTTATACAATGAAATACTCTACAATACATTGAAACCAAAGAACAAAACCTTTTTACAGGCCCAAGCATTTGACAAATAAAAGTACTGTATAACCGTTTTTACAAATAACTACTGTGCTGTAAAATAATAATTTTAATCATCAATACGAAGTGAAGGCTTCATGGGTTTTAGAGAAAATTTGCAAACTTAAATTTGGCAAGCTGTTTTACGTACATATACATATCAAACCGTAACGTTATTGCCACACAGGTAGAGAAGAAGCGGAGAGACTGTTTAGCCAATCAGAATGCAGAACACAAAGTACAATGAGAATCCGTGAAGCAGCGAGAACGTGAAAGGTGAACCGCGTTATAGCGAGGGTTCACTGTACTGTCATTATCATAAATGCTGTAGTTGTTCATATTATTATCAACGAGTTCTCTTGTGAGTCTGAAGTGCTTATATTAGCCAGGTGGGTCATCAGGAAATAAATGTAACTTAACACACGTGTAAGTCAACAGTGCTGAAAATGGAGCCTGCCCTCGGGCAAAGATTATATACTACGAAAGATAGGAACGCGGGCGAATTTCGTGTGAGGTTGGTATCCGTCCCGTAGTCGGCTCAATAGATGGCGCCAACTGTACGCGATTCTCGTGTCGTCTGCTTGTTTACACCAACCGCGGCGCTAGATTTGACAGATGAACAACATGAGTGAAGCGCACCCTTGCTTTCTTTGTAATAGGAAGAAACGAAGAAATCCCACAATCATTTTTCATCGCTTCCTCAAAGATGAAGATAGGTAAGAGTATGAATAGTCTGGTAAGATCATAAATAGTCCAGCATTGCAAATGAAAAAAACAACATATAAGTGAAACAGGCTGTTCAAGAAATCGTAGGCTATATAAAGTAGCTTTATGGCTGATATTATCAATGTTTACAGGTGTTACAAATGGATTAGCAGTCTTCAAGGTCATCCAGACGGCAAACATTTGAAGAATATAAGTCCACCACAATTTAATAAAATCTACAGGATCTGCAGCTTTCATTTTTCTTTGAAAAACTACCAAGGAAATAAAAATACGCCGTGGATATTGTTCCGGCACCGGATTTTATAACAGTTTGGCTATTCGTCCGGCATACATGCAAACTAACTATTTGCGCGCAAAACACACTCGCGCATTAGCCTCGCATACAAACTTTGGCGCTATTTTTATGTTGTTCATTGTTCATGGCTAAGGGTCGATCATCGATTATGGAATCCTTCAAAGTTGGAACTGAATTTGCCAGTTTTTGCTGATGTGAAGGACAGCTTGACCATATTTCAAGAGAGCACTTTCGCACAGTTTTATGTCAAAGATTACGGCAATCAGGAGGGGGATCGGGGGCGTAGCCCCCGTGTTAGGAGGGATTTTTGGTTCATACGGCGATCCTACTGGTAGTTCGTGCATCTAAGATGCGGTCCACTCGCTCGTTCGTTCGCGCAACACCGTGTCGAATAATCCGTTGCCAAATCTTCTCTCGGGTTTCTATATTTTTCACTTTCTTTATCATCTGAAATGCTATCCTTGGCTCGGATTTTCAATTTCCCACATTCTTTTGCTTTTTAAAATGCATGGTATGAACGAAATCACCCCCCCCTCCACCCCCCGATTCCCTACGGGATTCCCCAACATTGTTGGCGAGAGTCGGGGACTTCGTCTCTGACGGGTGCGGTCCTATCGTTTATGGGCACGGTAAAATCACAGAAATGTCAAACTGTAGCAAACTTTGTATGTATGTCCACTTGGTCCTAAGAGTAATTAAAAATGTTGATGATGTGCGTGAAATGACACAGACAGAATTATTGACTGTGCGCAAGCGCGAGTGTATGACGGACGAATAGCCAAAATGTTATAAAATCCGGTGCCGGAACAATATCCACGGCGAATAAAACTATCGAAGTATGCCATCCCAGATCAAAATATATGTGGTGAGTAATATTAATTCTAAAACTTCAGAATACTACCATATTTCTAAATATCAAATAAAAGCATGTAGATGGGACAAGCAATGTCTACAATATCATTCATTAAATAAAAAATAAGAAATGAGGAGAAATGATATATGACCATGTAAGGGTTACTAAGATTACCATATTTTCTTAGCAGTTATGTATATGTCTAGGAATATGTAAAGTTTGAGACATCAAACCTAACCACATGGTAGTACTTTTATCATGAGCTACAGAAGCAGAATCTAAATCCTCAGTGCAATCATTTTTAGTGGCCACTCTTTTTTCAATTGTTTATAGTTCTACAAACATTGCTCTTCCCATCTATATGCATTTCTTAAATAATAAGTATGCAGTAATGTTATATACTTTTACCATTTTAGCATCATGTAGTGTAATGTATCAGTTTGCTAATATTAACATGGCTACATAAACATAATCATCTAAGCTCGTTAAAAAATTACTTTAACAAATGTTTGTTTTATGTGACATTTTAATTGGATAATTTGTATTGTTAGAGTAATGCAGGTTAGATTTCTGGTGCTTTTAAGCTGTAATAAAATAACATTTTTAAAGTAGGCTGTTTTCTTGAAATATCTTTGTACACAAATGTGAACAGCTAGCCTTGCACAAAATATAAATTACCAATTTAAAGAGTATTTTGAAAATTACTATGTATGCCAATATATAAGACAAAATGTATGCATATTGATATAGACATATTTGACAGAAGAAGCATCAGGAAGCTGCACGATGGGAAATGATTCTTGGAGTGATGGCAACAGCTCATGGAAAACATTTTACTTTGGTATTTGTTTCTTTAGTATTTAACTTATTTTTTCTTCAGTGTCTGTGTACTTTTTGTCATGCATTATATATAATATCATACCTAAACAAATTATTTTTAACCAGTATATTGCATAAATATTAGCATTTTGAAAAACATAATATATATATGAAATTGATATACAAAATTGCAATTTACAGCAAAACCAACACAACCCCAGTCAGTAACTTTGGATGAAAGTACTATCTTTTTGGAAAAGGACATCACCTTTGGTATGATTTGAGAACAAATTCTTAATTTTAAATGCCTATACATGAAATAGCAAATTGATTTATTGAAAACCTTAAATGATTAATAAAAGCAACAGGAATTATAATTACCATATTGCAGGAATACCCTCAGACTTAGCAGGCCACTCATCAGAAGAGGAAATAAGTCTAACATCAAACAATTATGAAGTTCAACCATCTATACCTCCTTGTCCAGGTAAGAGAATATACTATCATAATTGAACAAATGTGCTGCAATATATTTTGACACAAAGTTATAGAACTATGAATCATAATATACATTATTGATTATATTGATACTTTTCTGTTATTTATAAAATCAGTTATTTGTGAATGTACATATGTTATTGCATGGATAATATTTTTGGAATTTATTGCATAGTGAATATTACTTTTGCTATTACTATTATTTTTGATGATTTGATTGATCTTTATATATAAGGCTATTTTCTCCAGTGGGTGTAAGGTAGACATGGCAAATATTATTCCCTTTCGTATATATAGCTTTAAAATTTTGATGTCTAAGTTCATACTTTTCTTTACCCTTTTCCCCTTAATCTTTTCATACACAAAAAGACAGATAAGGAAATATTGTCCTGTACAGCTTAAAAAAAGTATATATATAATATAATATAATATAATATAGTATAATATAATATAGTACAATGTATCTCTCTCTCTCTCTCTCTCTCTCTCTCTCTATCTATATAAATTATATATATATATATATATATATATATATATATATATATATATATATATATATATTATAAATAATATTTGTACTTGTCATTGATTTATTCTCTTCATGTATTTTTATCCATAATGTATCCTTCATTCCTGATGGTTATATAACCTTTGATTAATAGAGACCATTTTCCATTCTGTTACTGTATTCAGACCCTGATGGAAATCATGACCTCCAAACAAATTCGAGAAAGAGGAAATGTAAAACTTCATCAGAATTACTTCACAGGTATAGGACAAGAGTGAAAAGACTTCTCAAGAAAGTAGATGTGTTAAAGCAAGGTGCACTTTTCAACAAAAACAATGTTTTACCATCAGAGATTATCAATATGGCACCAAAAGTACTTGAACAGCTATGCTCTTAGTTTTTTTTTCAAAGCTCAATTACAATATTCACACATTACAAATAAAGCAAGGCAGTACTCTTATGAACAGAGGGCTTATGCACTAAGTCTTTATTTCAAAAGGGCAAGGGCATATAACTTTCTTTCCAAAATCTTTGTGCTGCCAACCCCCAGGATGCTTAAATACTGGCTTGCTAGAACGAATTTTACACCTGGTTGGAATTCACATATATTTGAAATAATAAATAAAAAAGCTGAAAAGTGGGACGCCAAAGATAGTCTGTGGTGTAGTCTTTGATGCAGTTTCTTTAAAGTCAGGGCTTTATTACAATTTCACAAAAGACCAGGTAGATGGCATTGAAGATCTAGGCCAGTATGGAAGGTCCGAAAAAACTGCTTAGTATGCAATGGTTTTCATGGCAAAGGGGTTAAGTAAAAAATGGAAACAGACATTGGGATACTTTTTTTTACCATAGCAGCATTTCATCCAGTACTTTAAAAGCAATGGTGTTAGACTGTGAAAAAGCTGAAAAACATATGCTTGATCCCTAAATTCATTGTTTGTGACCAAGGTTCTTGTAACAGGAGTATGTTAAACAGCTTAAATGTGGATGAAGACTCTCCTTACATTAATAGTAATGGTGATAAAGTTTATGTTTTCTATGATACACCACACCTTCTTAAAAGTACCAGAAATAATTTAAGAAAATATAACATAGAAATAAATGGTAATAACATAAAATGGCAGCATATAAGGGACTTCTATGAAAAAGATCATTCCATGGATATTCGTTTAGCTCCTAAATTAAGTGACAAACATATATACCCAAACAATTTTGAAAAAATGCGGGTATCTCTTGCAGCACAGGTATTCAGCAGGAGTGTTGCAGCAGGGATTTATACACATGCTAAGTTAGAAGCATTGCCACTGGATGCTATTCATACAGCAAACTTTATATTTGATATGGACAGACTTTTTGACCTTTTTAACAACAATAAAGTCAATCATTATAAAACCTCAAAAGGGCCATAAGCCTGAAAAATTATCAACATAATACTTTGAATTATTGAAAATCTTGGATAAAGTCTTGGTCTTTTGTTGGAGATTAACAGGCATTGCCTAGTTCATATGGGTGGTGTTTAAATATTTTAAGCTTGATATTACTTTGGGAAGATGTGAAAAATAATTATGGGTATCAGTTCCTTTTGACCAATAGAATGAATCAAGATTGTATTGAAAATTTATTTAGTACAATCAGATATGCTGGTGGCCATAGTGATGCTCCAACAGCACCCCAATTTGTAAGCTCTTTGAAAGGGGTTCTGACAACAAACATTTAAGATAAATCCATGTTTAGCAATTGTATTGATGATGCCACCCAGTCTCTTGAGTGTTTCAAAGTTGGACAAAATTTTAAAGAGACAGATATAACAAATAATGAAATGGGGCATGATGTGGTGACATCAGAAGAGGAAAATGTCATTACACATTTAATTGATTTGCAAAGTGAGGATGGAATAACATGAAAATGAAATATCTGTTTCCAGATCAAGGAGAGATTTCAATAAATATATTCATAGAAAGTCTGATCCAAGGTTGAATGAAGAGCCATCACAGAAAAAAGACAATGTTGTATCATACATAGCAGGTTATGTATGTAGGACTGCAATGAAGAGTCATAAATGTGATGACTAGGAGAGAGATGGAGGAAATAGACTCATATAGTGTAAAATACTATGACATATACATGTGAGAGATAAAGAGGGTAAGAAATATCTGTTTTATCCAAGGAAACCAGTTATTGATATGATACAAGAATAGGATTTTTTTTCAATGACAATATTAAACCAAATATATACAAAAGTAATATTTTGCAGTCATTTAGAAATGGTCTGTCAGAAGTGAGAGTCAATATAGTTTTGTGTAAAGAAGTACAAAAAGATATTATATATATTTACACCAAAATGAGATTGTTGTACTGTTTAAAATTTATCAATAAAGATTTAAGAGGTAAATAGAGAAAATGTGTATATTTGCAAGGAGCATTAAGGAAAAATAAGAAATTAGTTAAAACATGCCATTTATAAATTTCATATTTTTTCAGTTCAATTTGCAAGTGGCTGATTTGGTATGTATACTATTACAGTACATTGCTTGATTGTGTATGATCCATGTTTTTGCTTTATTTCAACATAAATGATTTTTGTTAAGCTCTCTGGTAATTATGTTTATATTTTCCTGCATGTTTTTTTATTTGTTTGTATCAGTACACCATTGATGTACATTAGTTCATGTGGTGTTGTAACAGTTATTTCTCCTTTTTTTTTTTTTTTTTTTTGCTTTAAATTTCAGTTGCAAAGGTTTTGTTACAATAGCATGTTGCCTGATTGTTTTTTTGTTTAATGCATGGCTTTTGCATGGCTGTTCCTA